CGAGCGTTCCTCGGTGGTTTGAATAGCCCCGGCTTCCACCGAGCGAATTCCCGGTAAGTAAGATGTTCTACCGCCCGTAACGTGCGAGCGACCCATTAATCTGTTTATCGGCGTTCACCTCTCCACGTGCAAAACAAAACCGCCGAAAAGGCGCCTCTTTGCAGCATGTGCGAGTGCAGGAGCTCTGGAAAACTTCCCTGTTGCTGGTGTGGGGGCAGCGGGCAGACCCCGGTGCTAACCCTTCCCTCACCCACGTGTGAGCTGCCGTGGGAAGGGGAAAATTGCTCAGCGCCTGGATTTCTTCTGTGAGCGCGGCTGGCGTGACCTCCCGCATATCCTGAGCGGAAACCTGCGCTCCGAAGTGCCTTGACGCTACCGGAGCGTTCTTGCCGTGCTGGGGAGCCCTAATTAGCTGGCTTCATTGTAATTCTATTGAGGCTGCTTCAGTGACCCAAAACCAGCATATGCTATTCATAACAGAGCTGCAGTCGACATGAATGTTCTCTAACAATGCAAACGAAAGAGAAGCTGAACTTTGCAGTGTGAGTCTTTTAGGTGCAAAATCTGGCTATTAAGGAAGAGGTGTTGGCCCCGAGTCAGGCGGTGGCGTTGCCCACCCACAGCCTGGATTTCCGTGTGTCGGCTTAGATGACTGAAGCCGATAGCTCTTTCCTGAGGTTTCTGTTGGTCAGAAAGATTCGTTGGCCACAGGGACCGAGGAAAGCGTTTGCTGCTCAGCGAAACATCTGCTGCGACCATTTGATTTTTGCCCCAAGTGGGACATTTACTGCAGCACGGTGGTTCCAAAACACTGAATTGTGGGGCTGCTTCATCTTGGTGTGACTGAAAGTGAGAAGGATGTAATAAAGCTGGGAGTTTTTCATTTAATGTCTGTAGAATACAGCATCTTGAAAGTACAGTGCTGCGACATCCCACTTAAAATTGTCTGTAGTCTGAAACCAGTTTTTTTTTAATTAAAGCCTTTCAGGGGCATATAAATGAAAGCAAAGCTAATTAATGTAAACCAGAATCCTGCTGCTGTCTGGGGATGAAGGTCTTGTGCAGCGGATGACTTTTGCAGTGTCCTTAAAGGGTAGGAATTGTCAGGCTGCTTTCCAGGAATCACAGATGTGCTTCCAGTAGGTGCACTCTGCGGAGTGCATACGGAAGCACGAGGACAGGTTTGGAAACTTCTCGAGTTGCACCGAGCCAACAGTAAGATTTGACATTCAGCTCGTGAGCGCAGTGGGTTTGGAAACTTCTCGAGTTGCACCAAGCCAACAGTAAGGTTTGACATTCGGCTTGTGAGTGCAGCATGTGAGAAGCTGCTCCTGTGCCTGTGGTTGAGCCGGAGACCGGGGCATCTGCAGCAGAACTGTGGGCAGCCCCGGGGGTCAGACGGAGCGGTGAGGTCTCCTGGGTGGAGCTGAGCCTGCACGTGTTGCATCGCCGGGAAACTGTTGCTGTGAAGCTTCTAGAACCTCTTCTGCAGTGCTGTTGTGACAGTTGTGTCTGGATGCGAGGACTAGGAGAGACAGAATGCAGATGCGTGGTGGCCGTGTCTGCTCAGGAAGCCACCAAAACACGTGGGTGGCAGCGAATGGAGATGTGACAGAAGAAATCCTTGCCAGATGTGGAACACGGGTGCCTTGTTCCCTGGGCTCTGCACTGCTCTGAGTCTGCCATGGTTTATCACCACCCAGGATGTAGCGTCTTTAACTTTGCTGTTTTCGGAGAAATCCAAATCCCTTTAGGACGTGGGGACGACGCGTAGCGAAAGCACGTAACTCGGGATGACGTGTGGCGTAAGGCTGAGGTCCCCTGGGATTAGTTTGGTTGAGCAAGAAGGAGGCTCTGTGTGCAACAAGTGACTGTGCTTAGGAGTCCTGGCAGCGTTTCTCAGCGCCTGTAAGGAAGTGGAAAACTCGATGTGGGTGTAGGGGAGCCGTCTCCGAAGCGCCGGGAGCACGTGCGCGCTGTACCATCAGCTTCGAGCGTGCGGTCGTCTCCTAGGAATCTCCCTGTAGGCAGGCAACGCAAATGGGGCACTTTGGTTACCAGTTCCAGCGTATCCTGCGTTACTGGTTTGAATGGTAAGTCTTGACAAAAGCACTTAAGAGAAGGGCGGAGGGAAGGGTTCTTCCTCCCTTTGGGAGGATCAGAGATTTGAAATACAGATAAAAGGCTTGAAAGGCAGCTCCAGTGAAGCTTTAATTACAGTTGGGGCACGGTCAGGGTGGTAAGTGCTAAACCTCTGGGGAGGCAGCGGATGTTTAACGTTAAAAACACCAATTAAGTCCCAGTGAATTGTCTTTGGTTGCCTTCATCCCTCTGTAGCTCGGACGCACGCGCGTTTCCTTCAGCTGTAGGACACTTTAAGGTGTTCGGAAGTGCCGCAGAGAGGCTGTCAGTGCCTCAAAACCCCCCATCTTGGCCAGGATACTGAGGTCGTGGCCAAAGCAAAGCTACAAGTCTGAGGAATGCATGCGGCTCCCGGGGAAGGCCGGAGATATCTCCACCGCCGTTGAAAGCGTGAGCGACAGTCTTAACGCTATTCAGCGGGAGCCCCTGCATCATCGTGAGCAGGGACACTGGGATTTCTGTTCCGATAGCAGCACGTGAGTGACGGACCAAGTTCCACGCAGTGGGATTTCCGCCTTCCCGGCGGCAGGAGGAACGGTTGCTGCGCGGTGCCCAGACGCAGGGAGGCACGGGGGGAACATAGCGGGGCCTTTCTCATCCTCTTTTCCTCTGAGAGGCTTTCATTCCCTGTTAGAAAAGGAAACTTGTGTCCAGTGAGGAATTAAAGATGCCACAGTAAGAGAATTGTCTGCTCTTGCACTTGGAGTAAGGAGGTGCCTTAGCCTTTCCTATAAACACTGCTGAAAGGGAAAGTGTTGGGTTTCCCCCCAGTGGGACAGCATCTTGCTTGAATCTAAAGGTTGCATTCAGAAACCACTTGGGTTTTACACTCTCACAAGTTCAGCGCTCTGTTCCTGGCCTCCGATAGGTGTTTCCCGTGCTTACAGCAGCTGGAAGAGGCAGATGTGGGCGCTTCGGCCGCCTTTCCTTGAGCTCACACCAGCGTGTCTGCAGCTGGATCGCAGAGTACTTGTAGGGCTGATGGAGCTCGGGGCTGGCTGCTCCCAGTTTTGGCCAGGCCCGGGCTGGGTCCTTGATCCAGTTCATCACCTGGGTGGGGGAGCAGGGTAGCCACGAGCTGTGGGAGCAGGATTTCTTTGGGGGGTGGTGCAGCACTCAGTAGCTTCACTACTCAAAAATTGAATCGGTTGATGACGAGGTGAGTCAAAATCTGTTCTGAATGTTTAGCGACGGTCACCTTAATAAACGTCCTGAGGAGTTAATTACTCTGTCGGGTGGTTGTGCCGTAATACGGAGACCAAACGTTCGGCGCATGAAGTGAAAGCCGCTCTGTCGTGTACTGGTGGGAACGTGAGCTTTCTTTGTGTCCTCTGTGCTTTAGCTTCATGCAGTAAATACCAGGGTAAGTGACCGTTGAGCTCCGAGCGTCCTGCTTCATTCCGACTCGCAGGTAAGTCTTGGAGGTCTTCTCTGCAGGGGCGTTAGCTGTGGGATCCCAACTTTGCTCCCGCACCTCTGCGAGAACCCGAAGCGCGTGGTCTCCTGTGCCTTAGCAACGGCTGGCGCAGGGCCCTGCTTGCTTCCTCCTGGAATGCAGACTTGTGGGCTTGGCCTGAGTTGCCGGGACAATAACTGGAAGTGGGGGGGCGGCCGTGTGGTGTCGAGCTGGGGTCACTTTCAGCCCCTCGGGTATGGCAGCGCCTGAGCGCTGGCGGATGAGTTGGCGCTGTAGAACTGCAAACGCACGAGCGGTCAAGAGTCCTGCCACGTTTTGTGGGGCCCTGGACAGGCTGTGCCTTGTGGCGGTGGTTGTGGAAAGCCCTAGGGGTAACACAGAGCGTGGGAGTCAGTCGGGGTGCCTAGAAGGTTGTAGTGAGAGTCAGAAGAGCGATTCTTCAGCTCTCATAGCTGCTGACTTCAGCCAAGTCTTGCTCACAGCACGTAGGTTGAACAGTCCATTTTTAGTCCTGCTGATGTCCAAAAAAGTGGGGAGAAAAAGGCTAGTGAAGTCTGCCTGTGTAGCCGTTGGAGGTGGCTGAAATGTGCCGCCGTCTGTCGTACCTCATCCCGAACGGTCTGTCAGAGTCTTCGCTCCGAGGCCTCTCTCGGTCTGGGGAGTTGGAAGGCTTCCTCGGGGAGCAGCAGTACAAGCTCTTGGGGGTGTTGCGCTGAATGCCGCCTTATTCCTCACGGGGGTTTTCCAGCTTGGAGCATCTTTTGAAAGGTTATTAACGAAAAGCTTAACGATGCAGCTTTTAAGAAGAGGAAGCTGTGGATGAGAAGCAGCATGAAATGCTGGGTTTGCTGGCAGCGTGGAGGTTCTTGCGTATCGATGAAAGACTTGAACTCCTCTCACATGGTCTGTTCGCAGGCAGCCCGCTTCCGCGAAGTGGTACGACCGAAGGGACTACGTCTTTATCGAGTTCTGCGTCGAAGACAGTAAAGATGTTAATGTAAATTTTGAAAAGTCCAAACTTACGTTCAGGTGAGGAACTTGGGCCTTGGCAAAGCTGAAGGGTGCGGGGAGGGGGATACCCACAGGCTACGCTGATACTGGTTGGGTGACATTTTTTCTTAAAGTAGCATGTTCTGGTGATGAAGTGGAGCTTTTCTTTAAGATATTTCCTGCTAATCACAAGCTTTTTCTTTTTCTCTCTTGGCAGCTGTCTTGGAGGAAGCGATAACTTTAAACATTTAAACGAAATTGACCTTTTTAATAATATTGATCCAAACGTAAGTACCCTCTTGGCTCTCTTCTTACCCGTTTTAGTGCAGAATCCTGAAAAACACCGTCTGTTCTCCAGGCTGCTCCCGGTGTTGTGAGCAAACTGATCCTTAGACCCCTAGAGCATGCTTAAACTGGGATGCATGGAAGCACCTCTGGATGGTCTTTTTCAGGACAAAGAACAAGTTGATGGTTTAAGACAAAAGGGTCTAATGTAAGTTCGTTTCTGGTGAAGTTCGTGGTGACTGTAGTGATGGATATTTGCTCTTTTTCAGGAATCAAAGCATAAAAGAACAGACAGATCTATCTTGTGTTGTTTACGAAAAGGAGAATCTGGTCAGGCATGGCCAAGGTTAACAAAAGAGCGGGCAAAGGTGGGTGTGGGCTCCTTGGTGCCATGGTAGTAGGGCTTCTTGCCTCCTTTGTAATCTTGTTTAATATTTGAATCATAGAATGGTTTGGGTTGGAAGGGACCTTAAAGACCACCTAGTTCCAACCCCCCGCGATGGGCAGGGACACCTTCCATAGCCCAGGTTGCTATTTTGGGTCATGTTTAGATGATGTAGCAGTTAATGGGTCACTTACTTGCTTCTGATCAGAACCTTGTTAAGCTGTTGATGGTAGAAAAGGAAGGTGGTTCCTTGCTTGTCCTTAAATAACGTCTTGTGCTGATCCGCAGCTCAACTGGCTCAGCGTGGACTTCAACAACTGGAAAGACTGGGAAGACGATTCAGACGAAGACATGTCCAATTTTGATCGCTTTTCTGAGGTATGGCAAGATGAGTACCTGGGGGCTTGGGTTTCCCCCTGGGCCGTGTGTGGGCAAGCAGGGACTGATAGCTGTTCAGAGAGGCTTTTCCTTGGTGTTCCTCCTCCCAGTGCTGTCCCGGCCGCCGGTCTCTGCACCGGCTGCGCTGGTTTGCCCAGGCACAGCCGTTGCCGGTGGTGGAATGACCAGTCTGGGTTTGCTGTCCGATAGGAAACGACCGGCACGTCCCGTTGTAGGTGCCGGCGCTAACTCGGTGCGCTGGCTGGTTGACGAGGCAATTAATTTAAATGTTTTTGCATGCTTGCCTTGTAATTCTGCATGGGTGCAGCTGATTGGTCAAAACATCTGGTGGTTATCGGTTACAGCAGTTTTAAGCTATTTTTAGGGTTTTTACAGTGCTCCCCTAGTTCCTGTAGAGAACGTGGGTGGCTTTGGCCTGTAACGTGGCTATTATCTCCCCGGGACAGATGATGAACAACATGGGTGGAGATGACGACGTAGACTTGCCAGAAGTAGACGGGGCAGACGATGTAAGTACTGGGTTCAGAGTAAATACGCACGGGGCCGGAGCAGCGCACGGTTCACGGCCGCTTGCCGAGGTCATGCTTGCGTTCCCTCTTCAGCGCTGTTCAACGGCGCCAAACCTTGGCTGTTGGCATGTTGTCACCCGGCAAAGGCACGTTCTCCCCCGAGCAGTGGGGGCTGAGGGGCGGTGGGGTCGATGCTTGCAGTGCCCGGGCAGCTTGGCGTCGCCTGCCTCCGCAGGGTTGTCGTGGCTCTGGCGGGTGAGGCCAAGCTAAGCATGTCCCGTGGAAGCAGGAGTTTCGCTGAGTGTGCTTGCCGCGAGACTTCTTGCTGGGTTAGTGGTGGGAGAGGGAAAGGTGCCTTGGAGCGCAGGCTGCTCCAGTTACTGTTTCTTGTTCTTCCCAGGACTCACCAGACAGCGATGATGAAAGTAAGTTGGTGTTCCCGTTTCCCCCCCTGTGCCGCACAGAGCGCGAGCGCTTGCTGGACGCTCTTGGTCGAGCGAGAGCCTCGAGCGGAGCCAGCAGATGTTCCATCCTGTCCATCTGCTAAATCCTGGCTGCGAGCTAATGCTGGTGCCCTGCCCGCGCCGTGCCAGACGCTGTAATCTAGTGAGAAGCCACGCAAGCGTGAAATACCAGTTTGACCTTCCCAGCCGGCTGTAGTGCTGGGTGGCTTTAAGAGCAGCAGGCCCGTGCGCGGGGCAGCAGTGTCAGTGGTGCTGCCTCGCTCTGATAACTTCACGGAGGCTGCGCCCCGATCTTGCTTGGGGAGAGGAAGAGGTCAGAGGCCTTAAACCGCCCTGGGCCGAGGGCCAGATCTTGCTTGCGTCCCTTGTGATGCGGCGGGGTAGCTTTGGCTTTGTTTGGGGTTGGTTTTTAAACACCCACCCGCTAATGCTGTTCTTTTTTCCTCTCTCTAGAAATGCCAGATCTGGAGTAAGGAAAACTGTCGTCTTCAGGGTTTGGGGAAAGAACTTCATCACAACATTTCATAATTGAGATAAGAATTCCTGAGTTGATAGCCCTAAGGGGAGATCCTGCATCCTTTAACCCATTTTCAGTCCATTTTCAGTGGCTTCACTGGTGGTAGGTGTGTACCGTTGGCACGGGGCGGTCTTCAGCCACGAGAGGCAATAACGTTCTGCATGAACCGCGTTTTTCCAGACTTCCAACCCAACCCCACCCCACTGAGGTGTAGGCAGTCGAGACAGAACAGTCGCAATAAAGTTCACAGAGCCTCTTTGCCTCCTAGCAGATGTACTTAAAATGGGACAACCCTCAGTTTATGCCCAGTTGGTAAACGAGCATTTATTTTCCCTCCCTTCCCCTCTGCGACCTGAAATTGTACGTTCGTATCGGGAACAAAACGGGCTGAAACAGGGACGTTATTGGCTTGTGAGATTTGGCAGGCGCTGTGCAGTTTCTGTGGTGTCTCCAGGTCTGTTCCACTAAAGTTTGGATTGAAAAGGCAACAAAATTCTCCTCGTTTTGGTTCAATTCCCGTCTCGGGAGCCCGCGGCGGGTGGCTGGAGCCTCTCCCCTGGTACCTTGACCCTACAGCTTCGCATCTGGGGGGTGGGGGTGG